TAACATATCATGGATTCATTCAAAGCTTATTAAACAGTTTACAGGTTTGTCTTAAAAAATTTTAATGAAAATTATGTATATTAGTTATTATTAAATCAATACTAATTTATTTGGAACATCTTACTATAAAAGGTCCTTCTAGATGCGCAAGGTCATGCGTAAAAATATTGATGTGGATAATTCTTGATCCCACAAGGCAACAAAGCAATGTCTGTAGCGTCTTGAGACTTTCTGCAAGATAAAAAGGCAGTACTTAAAGCTGAAGACATGTATTTTAAAGAAAAGAAAGCAAATGTTTTTGAGCGTGGCCCTATGGGTATCCCACACGTACAAGATCCAGACAGATCCTAAAGTCCACCGCCAAGCGTCATATAGTCACATAGTCGGAGCATCACACCCCCTCTCTTCTTTTCATTAGAGTTCTCGGTGGTCTCCTTGGTGCGCCTCCAGCACCAGTCGACAGTTAGCATGAGACTGTGGAACGGTACCTGGTCTCCTCGGCAGTTCCAACTGGATCTGAAGTTACGATCGGTCTAACAATCTGATTCAAAGCCACATACATCTAGTGATTAGTAATTGCTTCCAAGACTAGACGGAGGAACTCTGATTTATAACAGATGTGTTCTTGGGAAAACGGAATGAGCCACTGTCTTGTTAATATGGGGAATCGTATTGTCATTTCCGATTTTATTGGTAAATTCCGACTAGAAACTTTTGCAGATGTTTTACAGCGATGTCGCTTTAGTCGTTATTAGCTTGCCCCTAGAAACGAGAATTAGGTGTAGCCAAATGCAGGCTTCAGTCTCGACCCTTTCGTTGTGAGGGCTTTTGAGATTCGCCGTTATCGGGTAAATGCGTCTCCTTCACACCGTAAGTGCAAGCAAAAAAGGGTACATGTTAGGATATTATTTTCTATAATGCCGATTTTGCTTCCCGCTAGTACCAATTTAGCGTTACGAGATTTCTCACAAGGTGGAAGAAGGCAGTAGGTGAAGCTAGATACATGTATACCAAAAAGAACAAAGTATTTGAGCTAGAGCGTGGCCCAAAGGCAAACCCATATGCACAAAGACCAGACAAATCCTGAAGTCCACCGCCAAACCTCAGGTG